AGAAGACAGATAGATAGATACATAGATAGAAGACAGATAGATAGATACATAGATAGAAGACAGATAGAAGATATTTGTTGACTATAAAAAAGCATTTGATTCAGGGAAGCAAAACTAAGCCTTCAAGGCTCTCTGCCAACAAGGGATCTCCCATGTACATGTCAGATTCATACCAGACTCTGCAATCGGGTGTCCAAGCTTCTCATGCAACCAACAATCTCTCTTTCCAAAGTTGCCAAAGATCTAATTGGAAACTTAATGGCTCCCCGCTCCAATCCCTGATCCTCTTTGGCTTCTCTGCAGCCTTTGAGAAGGCTGTCCATTACAGCCATTACCTATCCATTACCCTCCCCTCTCTTCTCTCTAGGTTCCCAGGACACCCCCTCTCCTGGTTCTCCTCTTTTCTGTCTACCTGCTCCTTCTCAGTCTCCTTTGCTGATCTTCATCTAGGTCATGTCCCCTAACTGGATCTCTTACTAAGTTCTGTACAGGCACCCTTCTCATTGCACTCTAGACTAGACCACATCACCTGGATGGTCTCCTTAGCTCCTGTCAGGTTAATCATGATCCTTATGTAAAAAATCCCCATATCTTCCTATCTAGCACTCATTTCTCTCCTCAGCTTTGGTCTCATGTATCTCTGATGACATCTTGAACATCTTGAACTGGATGTACCATAAACACCTCAAACCCAACATGTCCAAAACTGAACTCGCTAACTTTCCCCCAAAGTCTTCTTCACCCCTTCTGACCTTCTTATTGTTAATGTTCTCTCTCTCTTCCAATTATCTGGAATTTGCCTATCTATATCCATGTTATGTCACCCAGTAAAATATCAGATCCTGGAGGTCTCATCTTTGTCTTTGCGTTCTCTGAATCAATCACAGTGTCTCTTTAATTCAGTTTGTTTTTTAATAAATGCTTGCCCTATTGCATTGTTTTATTGACAATTCCAGGCAAATATCTTCTCCTTAGATCATGTCTAACTTTTGAAAACCAGTAAATACCTTTGTTTTATATGCCCCTAACATGACGCTATAATTGGATCCTTTGTCCTACTTAATCAATCCCAGAATTCCAGAATCTCAGAGTTGAAAAGTGCCTAAGTGGCATCCATTCCAATCTGAGCCTTACTAGGAATCTCCACTTGGATACACCCACCCGTGGTTATCCAACTTCTGCCTGGAGATTCCTCAGGAGGAGAAGTCCAGTACTTCCCAAGGCAGTGCAGGCCACTCAGGGACTGCTCTCATAGTGAAAAAGTTCTAACTGCCAGCAAACCTAAACTGAACTTGTTATACTGGCTACCCGGCTAGTTCTGCCCTGTAGGCAACAGCCCTGAAAATGTAGAAAATAACTATCACGGCCCTCAGTCCCTCCACTGGTCTTTTCTCCAGGCTAAACACGTCCAGGCTGTAGAGCTAACTTTCCACTGGCATGAACTCAAGGACCTTCACTGTCGTGGTTGCCCCACCTTGGGACCCTCCCTAGTTTGACCAACATCCTTCCTGAAACATGGTGTCTAGGATGGACTACAATACTCTAAATGGGGTCTGGTCAGTGTAGAGGTCAGTTCTGGCACCAGCTTGGACATCAATAGTTGTGTGGCCTTGGATGGACCACTTTGACCCTCTTACCTATAAAAAGAGAGGGTTCAAGCATCTGATTTCTAGGGTCCTTCTAGCTCTAAACTGCCATGACTCAAAATCCATGCTTGGTTTGGAATGATTACTTGCTTCAGTACAAACTTTGTGCTAAGCCCCATTTCTACCAAATCTTGTCAACCCTGCATGGAAATGATGGATTTATTATGACTTTCTGTGAGCAACTGGGGAAAATATGTTCCCCATGTCAGAACCAGAATGCCCGGAGCATCTGAGGCTCCCTGCACTCTCCGCCATCTTCCAGCTACTGTGGGGCCCTTGGCAGCCCTTCCCCAACCACCTCTGAGATCATAAGCCCAGGCGAGGTAAGCAGGGCTTGGCTGGTCCCTCCTCCCTCCCCCGGCAGTCTGCTTCCTTATGCCTGTGCTCACTGAACATCACTCATTCACAGGAAGTTTGCCTCTTTCTGAATTACATCTAAATTAGTGACTGTTTGTGAATTGAATTGTTTTTCCCTCTATTTTATTTTGAACTTAAAAGCACCAAGTAAAATCAACATTTTTAGATACCCTGTGGAACAGGAGAGGATTGTACGTGAAGCTGCATCTCTCTTTTATGCAGAATATATTTCCTCTTTATCCTCAAATACACCAGTGGACCTGTGACCCCATCATGTGGACACCCCAGCAATACAGAATGTAACTACTCCGTGCCCACTTACCTTGTACCCCTCTTCTCCACCACCTCCCATAAGCGGGGACTCCTCCCAACAGTCTAGGCACCTTCCTCACTTTCTCTTGATGCCCAGAGGACACCAGTGGACAAAGGGGCAGCACACTGGTTATTCTCCGTCTCTCCAGTGATCGGTCTATCTTTGTTTTTTTTTTAAGTTTTAAATTTTAAAAAATTAATAAGCATTTATTTTCTCCTGCTTCCACTTCTTCCCATTGGAAAAAATATGAAGAAATAAGATTTTCTATGTTATTGGACACTATCTATCCCTGAGAAGACCCTTTCTCCAGTCTTCTTTCACAGCACCCTCATGGGCTACACTTTACTTATCTCATTGTCCCTTAGGGATATTCAATGTAAATTTTTCAGAAACTGAGTTCCATGATTCACAGTCAGATGATAACATAGGCAGACTGGCCATCATCAAAAATGGACCCTTGTATCTGGGAGAAGTTTGGGTCAGTATATGACCTCTGTCATTTCCCAAAGGACATCTCCCAGTTCAGGGCCTTTTCACTAGCTCTCCCCATGACTGGAATGCTCTCCCTCCTCACCCAGTCCTAGCCACCCTGGCTTCTTTCGAGTCCTAGTTAAAATTCCACCTCCTCCAGGAAGCCTTTACTGATCCTCCTTTTCCTTCTGTTACTTATTATCAATTAATCCTGCATATTAACTTGTTTGTTTGCATGTTGGCTCACCCATTAGATTATGAGTTCTTGAAGGCAGGGACTGGTTTGTTTTGTTTTGTTTTTGTCTTTCTTTGTCAGCCTGGCACACACTAGGTGCTTAATAATTGCTTGTTGATGTAATTTGATTTGACTTTCCTTCTCTTGCTCAATCCTGGGACCAACTGATTATAAAACACATTTTTCTAGGGACAATCACTGTGCCCCCCTATTTTATGAGTTAAATTACAGCCTCTCTTGACATCACACTTCACAGTTTACAATACACATTTCTCAAGACATCCCACAGAGGTAGGAGGCAGTGTGGCTATTATCATCCCTACTTGAGAGATGTGGAAACTGGTTTCTAAAGGTCAGGTGAAGCGGATTAGATTAGTTGTCCCAGCTTGAAAACCACTGGGCAAGTCTGTTTGCTCATTTACATCAGTCCCTCTCTCCTGTCTTCCCTTTATTTCAAACTAAAGAGCTTCTTCTGAGTATGCTGCTACTGCTGCTGCTGCTGTGTGTGGTGGCGTGGGAGGGAGGACTGGGGAGGGTGATCTTTTCTTGCCACAGGCTTCCCTCCCAAATCACCAATGGATGTCTCTCTGTAAATCCATCTATTTCAAAACCACGAAGAAGCCGTACATGTTTAGGCTACTCAGGCTGCCTTCCTTCTTGTGGAGGATTTAAATATAAGAGAAGACATAATTCTTTCAACAAAGATGACATAAGATGGATAATTAATGGGGCCCCTGGGGTAGCAGAAAGACACACATCCACTCCCCAAAATTATGGAAAGCAGGCTGTCTGGTTCTTCTTTGCAGCCCATACACATCCTGCTGGCTACAGGAGCCCAGAAAAGTCCTAATCAATCAATCAACAAGTATTTATTAAGCACTTACTATGTACCAGGCACTGTGCCTGGCATTGGGGATCAAAAAAAAAAAAGAACACAGAGATGAACCAGTTCCTGCCCTCAAGGAGCTTACAATCCAGCCAGGGAAGACAAATATAAGTTGATAGACAGGAAAGGCTTCAAGAGGAAGGTGGCAAATGGGGTGAGGTTCAAAGGGATGGACGGATTTGGGGAGATGGAGGCAAGGAGGAAGGGTGTTTCCACCACGAAAGCAGAAAAGGGACATGAAGCCTTGGGAATGAGCAGCAGTCAGGGGCCAGAATGGCTACACAGCATTGCTCAGGGAGGAGAGCTCCAGCTCAGAGCAGGAAGTTACCAGAAGAGTCCAATCTTGGCATTGACAAGGGTTCTACTACACGATGTTTGTTAGCCCAGAAAAAATGCTGGCTGACTTTCAAATCGGACCTCAAGACAGCAATCTAGTCTTCTCCACACTTTGTCAAAAGGAAGTCAACTCCAGGCTGTCCACTAAAGATTATGACAGTGGCACTTCCTTTGTCCTTTCTTAAACACCGTGGGACAGGCAGGCTTTGGAGCCAAACGTCCTGGATCTGAATCCCAATCCTACCGCTGGATCGCCAGTGTGATTTCGGGCAAATCCACATCTCAGTTTCCTTATCTGTCAAATAGGGATTTGTACTTGAAGGCTTCCGAGGTCCCTTGCAGCTCAAAATCAAAGATCCTAAGATGTAAAAACATGTCGTAGAGCCACAATAGCAAATCTGCCGGGAGTTTTCTAAGCCTGTGGCCAAAGTCACCCCTTTAAGCTCCTAGGAAACAAGTCGCGGTTCCATTCCAATGAGAAGTCTCCTTCCCACAGACGCCAGGAGGGATCTGCTCTTTCAATAAGCCAACAAGGAGATGTAAAATTCATCAAATAACAAAACCAAAGTCTCCAATGAAAATAAGAAGGAACATTTTATTTTTCCAAAGAAGTATGATAAGTTTATTTTAGCATATAATGAGTATGTAGCCTAGATAATCACGGCCAACCGACAAGGTGGTTTTTATTTTTAACCAACATTTCTCATTCGTTCAGGTTGTTGTTTTGCTATGGTTTGTCCTTCGTTCTTGAAGAAGACCATAACATCAGGGATGATGACAAGCATATATATACAAGACATTAGCTTAGGCACCGGGGGTTCAGAAAACAAACAAAAGAACAGCCCCTCACCCCTAAAGAGCTCACATTCTATTGTGGGAGAGCGGTGGAGTGGAGACAACATCTGTACTGAGAAATAAATGCAAGGTCCTTTGAGGAGGGAGGGAGCCCTCATAGCTGCAGGGTTTAGAAGAGGCCTTCTGTCCAAGGTGGCACCTGAGTTAGTAGTGAAGATGAGGAGGGAGGGCTTTCCAGATAGGGGAAGTCAGCACCAGGCAGTTAATTCTGGAAGCTCACTTCTAGGACACACAGAAGGTGGGGGGTGGGGGGGTGGCAGGGGCAGCTGTATTGAGACAGATAAGCTCTTGTAATTTTCACCACTGGTTTCCTTGACTCCTCAAAGGAAAGACACCTGGTGAGGGCTTTCTCTCTCTCTCTCTCTCTCTCTCTCTCTCTCTCTTCCTCTCCTTTTCTCTCCTCGCATGTGTATGTGTGTGTGTATGTGTGTGTGTGTGTGTGTGTGTGTGTGTGTGTGTGTGTACACATGAGTACATGAATCATCTGGTCCATTTCAGGGTGAGCTCCTTGAAGGCAGGGACTGGTCTTACTCTTCTCTGTACTATTAGCACATTGAGATTAGCACAATGTGACTTTTGGTTGATTAACTGATTGACTATTTTGGTCCGGATCTGTGAGTTCATTAGTATGAAGAATGCCCAGGGAACAAAGCCCCTCTGGACACTCATATAGAGTAGCACCTTCTCAGCGACTTGTGGGGAACCCTGAGTTTTACTGACTTGCTGGGGTCACAAGTTCAATGTGTTTTAAAAGTGCGATTTGAACTCAAGTCCTCTTGACTTAGTGGAAAATTTTCTATCCACTTACCCTGATGCTCCTTCAGTATAAGATATATGAGAGAAATGATTCTTAATAACCAATGAGTTGGGAAGATCCAGAGTTTCCCACTTTTTTCTAAAGTTCTGATTTCAGAAGTTCAATCTCTTGGCTAATAATGAGATTGGACTAACTTCCTTAATTGTCTTGTTCAAATGGGGAAGCCATTGTGCTCTACTCAGGTTTGGGTAGGGACAAATTGTTTGAATAGATTGCTTGAGGCTGAGGATAACTTAGAAGTAAATGACATAATCAAAGTTCACTTGAATAGGTTCAGCCCCTCACTGTAGTATTCATTCTTTCATTAATTGTTAACCAATCACAGTTGATTGCTATTCTCAGGAACATCCCTCTTCCCATGGGCAAATAAGCCCTGAGCCCATTGCCATGGTCATCTTTGGTCTACAAGAGAGACAGCCAAATGACCATGCTTTTATTAATAAACAAGCTGGCATTATTAATAAAATGATTAAATAGCCTAGTTACATCTCTCAAACTTTTTAAATGTCACTATACACACACACATATATATATGTACACACATATATGTCTATAAATAACATGTATTTATAGGTATATGTACATAATCATCCTAAAAACAAGCATTTAAAATCTAAACCTGGCATCTTTTTTTAAAAATTATGGAACCAAGAATAGTCATTTAATTATAAAGTGATTTGATGATAAAATGACTATTACCTTGTTGAAGGAAAGCCATAAGTACTTTAACTTGCGGAATTTTGCCAGGTCAATGACATCTACTAGTCCCCTGGGGGAGAAAGAACAATTACTTAATAGTAAGTGTTAATAATAAGTTAATAACAATCAGTTCATGAGTGGGTCATGAACTTTTGGTTCACACATTTAAGGGTACTGAGATAGCTAACCAGGCCACTCTGGGCTCAAGGATCTGGCATCTGTCCACATGAACATCCCCAAGAAAGAAAACACTGTAATTGCCAGGCACTTGTAACCTTGGTAGCAACGAGTTCGTCCAACACTTTTCTGAAAACATTTCTCACCAAGGGGCAGAGAGGAGGGCATCTTTAGGACCAGAGGCCAGCAGAGGGGAGAAAAGGGCATCTCAAAGTGGGGTTCAGGGACCCTGGAAGGAGAAATTAAACACAAAGAAAACAAGCCACCCCCTTTTGGAGTGTGGCTGGCCCTGTCCACATTCTTTGACTCTGATGTTAATATTACCATTCTAAACTATAAAAAGTAACAAATATTTGGGTAGTTACCCTGAATTGGACTTTCCAGACAATGACAACAGTACCTAGCATTTACATATTGTTGTTTTTTGCTTTTTGTTTTTTTTTTTACAAATTTTACAAATTTCATTTCATTTTATCCTTTCAACAACCTTAGGAGAAGGTGCTGTTATTATCCTCATCTTACAGATGGAGAAACTGAGGCAGACAATGGTGCTAGACTATAACGGGAAAAAAGCAGTTTGCTTTTTATTGGGTGCTTTAATTCTTTCAGATCCAGAGTATTAATAAGTATATATCAACTCGAGGTTATTTACCTAGGAACTGAGCTGAGGGGATCACTGAGCCCGGCTCAGGGAAGGGTCTCTGCTGAGATTGACATCATTGCCAGCACGGCCACCTGACTCCATGATGGCGGCCCCTCTCCTGCTCCTCTAGGACTCAGCAAGCTGACTACTTATTTCTAAATATTTTTAAATTCTAAGGACTATTCAGATGAACCCGAGCCCTGAATCTGCCCCAGAACATCCCTTATCCACAACTGAACTGCATGCTTTAAGGTATATCAAGACGCTGCAAACCTCAGTGCACACAATGCAGACATTATCTCTCAGATCATTTCCTCATCTGTAAAGTGGGGATAATAACAGCACTTACCTAAGAGAGTCCTGGGGAATGAAACAACACATAAAATGCTTCAAAACTCTGTGCAGAAGCTATCCCGATCATTATCTCACACAGTGAGAATTAGGGGCTGGGTCTGTGATTTAACTCCCAGATGAAGGAGGTCCCTCTATCAAGACAAGACACGAACCCATGGCCAGCCTCCTGGCACATGGGACATGAACTGGTATACATCCTGCAGTCCCTTGCTTTTTTGCTTTCACCCATAAAAGCAGCTGTGGTTTCCCCTTCTCTTCCCCATAATAACCTCTTAGCTGAAGTCTTCATCTGAGCCCTGATGGCCCCACTGGCATCATAGACGGGATTCACCACATCACCCTTGGTAGCTAAGCTTGAGTAATCAGGCCATATTTCACTCTCATACTCTTTTCCCATTCAACACATTATCGGCCTCAAAGATCCTGCAAGTCTGGAAGTGGCCTTACTCCTCCAACCCTATCACTATCTTAGAAGCCCTGAAAAGGAGGGACTTTTCTGTACAAAAAGAGGAAGCTGGCAAGCTGTCTCTGGAGCTCACAAGTCGTCAGTCTGGAGGCAGATTCTGGAGCCCAATGCATCCTATTCCTATCTGTGGCAGTATATAAAAGATCCACCTTTATAGACCTCCTTGGGACAAAGAAGTCTTATACATTGGTTTCCTCTTCCTTTTCCCAGAAAGGATGCTTGGTTTACCACAGAATCACTCACTGGAGAAATATTTGCTGTGCGCTGAAGGAACTGAAACTGCTAGGAGAAAGTGATCACCTCTTATCCTCCTTTTACAAGGTCTCCAATTCAAGGAGTCATCCCTGGTTGCTGCCATGAGTGGCCCGAATTCAACTCTACCAAGCCATGTCACTGTTACTTATTAAGCACTTACTCTGTGCCAGGCAGGCAGGGCTTAGTATAGTGCCTAGCACATGGTGGTGTTAGAGAAATGCTAACCGACTGATGAGCTCTACTGAGGGAGACAGACTGCAGCCTTCTAGATACTGCATCTATTTGGGGTAAATTGGACGTCATCTCAGGGAAGGGCACCAGATCAGAGAGCTCTGGGACTGGCTCCACTCATTGCCTCCACTCATTGCCTCCACTCATGCATGGTCTGCCCTGACAGCCACAGGGTTGGGAATGCAGGAGGTCATGGACAGCTTGGCTCTGTTCTGCCCCCATTTAGAACAGTGTACCAGTTCTGGGAGTTTTAGGGAAAACCCTGACAAATCGGAAAGCCTGTAGACACCAACAGTCAGGGTGGTGAGTGGCCTGGAGATGCCGTCGTAGAAGATGAATAGAAGGTATTGGAGATATTTGGGCTGGAGAAGAGAAGACTTGGGAAGGGCAGACTAGCCATCTACACTGGTCTTAAGGGTGGCCGTGGGCAGCAGGGACTACCTGTTCTGCAGATTTGGCCTGGATGCTCGGAACGACTTTCTAACAGTGGTCGCTGTCTCCGAGGGCAACGGGGGTTATAGAGTCCTGCTCTACAGGACTCTTCTTTGATGTCCCATCAAAAGAGATTTTATAGAAAAGAGTGATTCTGTGCCTGCCTTAAATTTGTGGTTGTGTCCTTTCTGGCTCTTCATGACCTCATTTAGGGTTTTCTTGGCAAAGATACTGGAGTGGTTTTGCCATTTCCTCCTCTGGCTCATTTTACAGATGAGGAAACTGAGGCAAACAGGGTTAAAGGGACTTGCTCGTGTCTCACAACTAGTCAGTGTTTGAGGCCAGATTTGAACTCAGGAAGTGGGTCTTCCTGCTTCCAAGCTCAGAACTATGAACTATGGTGCCACCTAGCTGCTGCTGCCTTAAATTACCTTTTATTTCTTTGTATGTTTTCTCAGTTTTCTCATCTGTAAAATAGGGGTGACAACACCCATAACACCTTTCTCACAAGACCATCCTAGGGTTCCCATGAGATGAACACATGTGAATTGTTCCACAAAATATCAGCTACTCATTATTTTATTTGCCCACTCCCCTTCTTCCTTCAAACACTATCTGAAACCTGCCCCCACATAGCCAGCTATACTCTAGAAAAGCAATACCGTGCCACTTCTGGAGGCTGCCAATAAGTCAGAATGAGCAGGTCATGGTGTCTTGCAACAAACATGAGCCACGCCCACTATGTTGTAAGCTCCTCGGGACAAAGACCATCTTCTGCCCCTTTGAATCCCCGGAGCTCAGCACAGTGCCTGGCACACAGGAGGCTCTTAATAAATGTTGATTGACTGATTATCTCCCCACTCCACCCCACCCCATCTCCTCCCACATCTGGTCCTTCACCGACAGGACAACCACGAACCCCACTCTCCTTGCCCCCCAATTTCAGCCTCACCCCTAGTCTCAGATCACAGGGAGGGGAATGGCAGCAGAACAGTCCAGGAAGTGAATCCCCGATGAAATGGGGCCCTGGGACCCTGGAAACCCCAGCCCTTCCTAGCTCTCAAATACTTGGTCTTACTTTCGGGAAAGGAACAGCTCCAAGACATCAATATCCCTCCTGTGACCACAGAGCTTCTTCTGATCTTCGACGGCCTGGTAACATATAATTAATCTGTCAAGCCACATTCCAGGGAGCAAACCCACAAAATCATCTTCAGTCAGTCCCAATCATAGCAAAAAGTTCAAAAGGAAGGGGAGAGTGAGGCCTCCACCATAAACTGATAAACCCCAGCCTCCTAATTACATTTCATGGCTCCCTCATGAGCTTGAATTCTGCGTGGGGATATGGAAGTCATTATGAATCTCAACCCCAGGAGAAGCCCACCTTCACACACTTGGGCTCTGAAGACCAGGGTGAGATTCTACCGCAGGGCACAAAATCCAGTTCTGGAACAGTACGTGAGAAGACTTAGGAAATGGAACATTATCTTTTTATAGGCAGCAGAAGAGAGATCACTGAGGCATTGGGGCGGGGCAGTTGGATGGGTGGAGTGAGAGTCAGCGCTGGATACAAGAATCAGCAAGACCTGGGTTCCGATTCTGACTGACACTCGCTGTGTAACCGGAGGCAAGTCATTTAATCCATCCCAGACTGATGTCTTCACCTCCCAGGGCTGCAGGGAGGCGCCGAGGAGACAAGGCCTAAAGAGTGCCTTGCAGTCTTTAAAATGCTTTAAAATGAAAGTTCAATGAAAGGAACAATCCTATTGGGGGAGAGAAAACCCCGTCAACATCCTAGAAGATTGAGGCTTCGTAAATGTAAGAGTTTTGTTGCATTGACTTTCTTAATTTGAAGGATGATTCAGCATGATATAAGATGCTGGCCCTGTAGTTGGGAGCACAGGTTCCAATCCCACTCTGTCATGTAGTAGCTGGGTGACCCTGGGTAAGTCCTTTAACCTCACTAAGCCTCAGTTTCCTGTTCTGTAAAACGAAGGGGCTGGGCTAGATGGCCTATGATCTATAACCTAGGGAGGCGAAGAAAGGAGGGACTAAGTCTTTACATACGGCCCTCTATGTGCCAGGCACTGGCCTAAGCTCTTTTAAATAAATATTATCCCATCTCCTCCTATCCCCTAGCCTGACAATGGGCCAGGGTTGCTGGAGGATGGGGAGATGAATGATTTAGGACTGTACCCAAATTCCAAATTCATAGCCTTAAACTGCCTATGCTACTCTGTTCATGAGGCTTAACTCTGGGTCTTGGAAAATCCACAGGAATAGCCTTAGAAATGTCCAACCTGTTTATTTGTCCAGACACATGATTTCAGTGTGGGAGCTCTCGGCGTGGAAATGCTTTCCACTGATAGAGGCCATCCTCTCACCTGTAACTCAGAGCAGTCTGGGTTACGGAAAAGTCAAGTGACTTGTTGATGGTCCAACAGCCAGAATGTGTCAGAGGTGTACTTAAACCCAGGTAGGTCTTCCTAACTCTAAGGCCTACTACCTTCTGCCCCCTCCACTGGGCTGATGGGGTGCTTTCCCTTCATTTAATGTAAATAAAATTGGCACAGTAAGCAAACAAAACCCAAATATGGACTAAAATCAGAGCTTTTCTCCTCTCCCACTTTGCCCCGAAACAAATCCCTTTCACTGGAGATTAGTTCTGGGAGACAACTCTGGCTACCATTTCTGCTAGGGAGAGGATAAGGGAACCCCACAGTCTACCATTTCAAAAGAACCACATTTCTCCTCCTGGGGAAATCCTCAAAGCAGATTGTCTGGGGCAGAGAGCTGGGGAAGCCGTGAGGTGTCAAGTACTCCACGTGAGAAACATGGTTTGCCTTGGCATCCCCAGCACACAGCATGAGCCCTGGTACAGAGCTCAAGATGATTAAAAAATAATTGTTGGGCTGGACCAAACTAGACTGGCCTGGACTGGGCCGTATTGAAATTAACCGGCCTGGATTGAACTGGGCTGGACTGTGTTGGCTTGGGTTGGACTGGATTGTTATGATCTAGCCTAGATGGCCCGGCCACAGTAGTCCCCAAGCCTAAGACACACCTTGCCCCAGCCTCAGCCAACCAGCACCTCTGGCTTGGGGTCAATAGCCTGGGTCAGAGCGCCCTGCCGCGCCCGAACAAAGGGGAGCCCTTTGGTGGGGGGGGAGGCGAGGAGAGAGGCGGCAGCCCCCGGCACCTCGGGGCGCAGGAAGCCGAATAGACACAGTCTCCCCACTCCATCTCCTACTCTCGCTGTAGGGCCCTGGCAGGGCTTGGGGCGGCGGGCTCAGGATGGTACTCACCTTGCGGCTTTTCTCCCGGGAGAGGTCAGCCTCAGAGGCCTTGGCCACTTCTGCGTTCTCCGTCGTTGCTACGCGCCGGAGGGCAAGCGGTACCGATGTCCGCATGAGGAAACGCCCCGCGAGGCCCTGGCTCGAGCTCCCAGTGCATAGTGAGACTGGAGTCAAGAATACGGAGCTGTCCCGTCTCAGGTCCTGCGGGGTGGTGGTAAGGGATAGCGTGGAACTGGTCTCGTGCACCCACTGGGTCGGCCCCGAGCGGGAGCCTGGAAGGACGGTTTCTGTGCCTAAGGCCTCCTGCGTCATGACTGACGCTGGCTGGGAAGTGGGGCTCGGTCTGGAATCGCATACCCTCTGGAGTGGGGGAAGGAGGCCGCAGAGGGGCGCGGTGTGATCTTGGGTAGGTCATTTGCCCTCAGCGCCCTCTCAGCTGCCTCATCTGTCAGGTGTGAGGCATGGGCTAGATGTGCACATAGGAAACGCTTAATAAGTACTTCATACTTTCATTCATTCATTCCATTTCCGAAATTTAGTGAACCTTATGATGTATCCATACTATGTATAGAATTCTCTTTTAAGACATGCTCCATACTTCTAAAAATTCTAAAAAAAAATGCTATTTAGAATTCCCCAAGGTCTGATCTATCCCAAAAAAGCACAACTCAGGGGATGAAGAAAAGGGTTACACACGGAGCACATAATATGGTCCTTGTGAAAAGTATCCCTGTGGTTATTTAAGCTGTGTATGTGGAATTTGTCTTCCTGCTCACATGTTAATAACAGCAGCTGACATTTCTCAGAGTGCTTTACACATGTTATCTCATTGGATTGGCACAACAGTCCTTGGAGGCAGGTGCTTTTACTACCCTGTTATACAGATAGGGAAACTGAGGCTGGCAGAAGTTAGGTGGCTTGCCCAGGGTCACACAGTTGGTAAGTGTCTGAGGCTGGTTTTGAACTGAGGTCTTCCTGACTTGGGACCCATTGCCTTATCCAGTACCAGGCCACAGGTAAGCAATGGTTCTGTGACAGGGAGGAAAGAATACTGAGCTGGGTACTATAGAAGTGAGTTCCAAGGTGGCTGTGTGAATTTGGACCAGTTCTTTCCTCTGTCCTCAGCCTCAGGTTTTCTCATTTGGGGTTGGACTAGATGGTCCCCTTTCCAGCTTTAGGGCTACAATACTACAACCTTATAAATGCAGGCTATGAACCTTGAGGCTAAGGGGGAATGAAGAAAGGCAGGGTAGGACAATGGAATGTGTGTTAACTCAGGAACCAGTTGGAGATGTCAAAAAGCAGCTGGTGATGTGGGACGGAAGTACGGGAGAAAGACTAGGGCTAGAAATCTAAACCAAGGTTTCATCTGCATAGAGATGGTTATTGAACCCATGGGAACTGGGAGATAACCAAGTGAGACAGTATAGAGGGCCCAGGCAAAGCCTTCTAGAGCCCCAACAATGAGTATGACAGATGAAGGTCCAGGAAAGGAAACTAAGAAAGAAGGGTGAAAACAGCTAGGAGGAAATGCAGAGAGCAGGGTCCCGAATACTTGGAGAGGATAGTGTCCAGAAGGAGAAGGTAAACTATGGTGTCAAAACTGTTCAAGGTTTTGCATGAATGAAATCCCTATGTCTAGAATAATAAGAAAAACTGTGGAGTGGGAAGAGTATCTCGCATTGTTGTCCCTGATAAAAGTCTGATGACCAAGATCTACAGGGAAATGACACAAATATATAAGGCTAAGAGTCTTTCCCCAATACATAAGCGGTCAAATATTTTTCAAAAAAAGATTAGAAAACAATGACCATATTAAAATGTGATCTAAATCATTAATAGTGATAAAAATGAAAATTAGAACAACTTTGATTTTTCACATCACACACAACAGACTGTCCAAGTTGGCAAAGGACAAAAACAAAAAATAAAAACCCAGAAATAGTCAGCATTGGAGGGACTGTGGGAAGACAAGGGGTACAACATAGACCTGCGTTACTATGAATGTTGGAGCCATTATGGATTCTCCCAACAGCATTATCATTCAGCCCATATGTCTCCCATCTTCTCCTCAACGATATTTGAGAGACTATGTTCAAAGTCTTGCTGAAGTCCAAGATAAGCTATGGTGTTTCCATGATCCATGGAGTAGGATTAGAGTTAGGGGCCGGCTGAAAGGTAACAGAGTAGTTCATTTTGGACATTGTGGTCAGAATGCAACATATTATCAAGGGAGAATTATTCGGGAAAAGTGAAGAGTGTTGGAGAGGTCCATGACCAACTCATGCACTTCACTGAGATCCGTGCTTTGTCAAGAACCCTAGAGAAAGTCCTCCAGAATGTTGGGTGGACCCCCTCCTGGAAGGATTTGCTATAGGACAGAAAGAAGAGATTCATAGGATGTCATCTGTACCATTCAATTCAACAAAATTTATTTATTGAGTACCACTGTGTGCCAATAATTCTATAAGCATTTATTAAGCACTCATCGTATGCCAGACACTGTGTTAAGTGCTAGAGATACAAAAAGAGTCAAAAGATAGTCTTTGATCTCAAGAAGCTCACAGTCCAATTGGGGAGACATTGCTAGTACTAGAGATACAAAGGCAAAAACAGAATAGTCCCTGCCCTCAAGATGCTTACATTCTACATGGGGCAGGGGGCAGAATACAACATGTCCCCAAAATAAGTAAATACAAAGTAATTTCTAGAGGCATTGGAGGCTAACAACTGCAGGAGGAAGGTGCAGGAGTGAGTAAAGGCTCTATGTAGGAGGTGCCACTGAGCTGTGCTTTGGAGGAAGGTGGGCATTCTAAAAAGTGGAGATAAGGAGGGACGGTACACTTTGAGGGAACACTCATATCGATCAGAAAGTACTCAGATCCACTGAAGGATCAACGATCAAAATGTCACTTTGGGGGGGTGCTATTGCAAGGGAAAAGGGGCTTAGTTTGGTATTACTTGTTTTCAGCAAACTCACGGTGGCTCTCAGTGGTCACCACTAGTACACATTGGGAGGACGGTAGTGGTTCTTGACCAGCCCCAGAGAGGGAAGTGAGGAGGTGGAATAGGGGGCTCATGTAGAAATCTGACAGCCCTTTCTGCTCCTCAGAAGCTGCCCTTTGTTCCAGGAACTGAAAGTGGTGACGTTAGCAATATCCCATAGGTACCTGTCACTGTTGCACAACATCATGGCATGTCTCCAAGACCATGTCATCCTTTCTTGGACCTACATCCTTAGCTAAGGTTTTCCTCAATCTCAGCGTCATCCACTCCCAAGCCAACTTTAACCCCAATGCTATGTAGCCCTGAGACTTTTGCTATTGCCTCCTCTCCCCCGAGGGAAAGGGGCAGGAAGCTTTGAAATGCATTCCGGCTAAATTTTCTTCTTATCAATTTTTTGGTTCCTTTTTCTTACGTTAAAAAAAAAAAAATTGGACGTGTGCCCAGAGTTGGAAGTATAGCTGCATTTTTTGAATTAATTAAATACCCTCAAACTTTTCAGAGTTTCTATCAGTAGCTGTAATGGATCTTAAACAGAGCTTTCACTAGAGGAATGTGTTGTGTAATCCACGTTGATGTAGGTGGTCTAGAAACCACTTATAGAATCTGTGTACTCAGCAAAGATGATCACTACAGGGAAAAATGCCATTTTGACAAAGGCTAAGTCCTCTAAGCTTCCTTGAGCATCACTGGAAATCAGACTTTCTTCGGTGTCAGGAAAAGTTGCATAGCTCACCACACCTCCTATTGTATCGCCAGGCAAGATATCCCATCATGAGTATGATTACATCCAGTCAAAGCCTCATCCAACAGCTTTGTTGACTTTTGTAATGCTCAGTATCAGAGCTTGGGTGGTGATTCTATCTTTCAGGGAAAGAAAACCCTCCATTTCCGATCTCTGACATGTACAAATTGATGACTCAGTGGATCACAGATCGTGTATATGCTTGGACGCCCATCTGCCTTGCCTTGGCCCCTGTTGGGGCTGACTCCCCAAGCCATCTGTGACTGTCCTCTTCCTTTAACCTGATCTCTTAGATTTTTCTTTCTTTCTTTCTTAATTCTGTTGTCTCTCAGAAATCAGATATGCTCTGTTGGAAGAAAGTCTCTTGACAAAATGATTTGTCGAGAAGGCTATTACCTATAGAACCCTGTCAGTTTTTCTATTTAGAAATTTACCTTCCACGGTTCAAGTTACTCCCCCTCTGGCTGTTGCTTCCCCCCCCCCCCTTCTTACCATCCCCTTCCTTATTTTTTCATGAGATATTTTTCTCTGAGCAAAATAGTTTTGATTTTCTAAAATGTCATTATGTTGTTTAGATAGGGATCAAATACAGCCTGCAAAACTATGGTAACAAAACCAGTTCATTCTTTCCACTGAGGCAAGTCCTTTTAAGAGCTCATTTTACCTGGTGGAATGATCCAGAGGCACGAGGCTGGAGCTCATCATCAGGGAGAACAAATAGAAATCATTGGATCAGTATATCGTAACCCAAATATTGGGCTACAGAATTTCAGATCCCACATTCCCCCCTCCCCCCAAGTTAGGTGGTTCAGCGGCTGGAGTTTTGGACTCAGAGTCAAGCAGATCTGGTTCAAATCCTGCCTCAGACACTCACTTAGCTGGGGGAGCCCAGCAAATCATTGAATCTCTCTGTGCCTCATTTACCTCATCTATAAAATGGGGATAATAATAACACCTGCCTTATAGGACTGACCTGAGAATTATATGAGATATAATACATACAGAGTGCTTGGCCAACCTGAAAGTACTGTATAATTGCTTAAAATGCTAAAGAAATATGAATTCTTACCCCTCTTATGCTCTCCAGTGCTCCCAGATCATCACGTGTTTGAGGCAGGGATGTGTAGCAGTTGCTGCAGAGGTGGTCACCAGGACTCAATTCCACTGGAGTGGTTCCCTCCAGCATGGCTCAGGGGCCAGGCTGGATGCAGGTGGACAAGGATAGTGCTGCGGGTTCTGGGGCTCATCTGCCTATTGGTGGCAATTGGTGTTGGCGGGGCTGGGAGTAGAGGCCCCTCCTTTGCCCACAAGGGTTTCTCCCTTCAGTGATGTCTGGGGAGGGGCTGTTGGGAACAGGGCTGAGGGGCTGGGGTCCTTGCTCTACTCCACACTCTTGGGCTCTGGGTTCTGGGCTGTCTGCACCAGTGCCGAGGGCTTGACCCAGGGCCAGACACCTTCTGTGCTCACCTGAGTAGCTCAGCTTTGCATTTACTTCTCTTTGAACACCCTTGTGAAGTCCAGGGTATGGGGACTAACATTCTTATACAGAACAAAACTTAAGCCT